AATTATTATACTTGCATGCACTGCATAAACAACCCTCCGGGTCGGAAACTGAACGTGTAGTTGTGTGCACGTTTTAGCACAAGGAAGCCACCAAAACCACAAAAACACCCATGTTTCATGTCAGTGGGTGCGATAAATGCGCGGAGCGCATACGGAAAGCTAGTCTCTTCCTATCATAACATGCAGGTTGTCGACCTAGACTTCCTGTGCGAAAGCCTTTTCGTTTAGCATTTATAGATGCTCCCTGGCCCTAGCCTGCACGCCAGTGAAGCTCTTCCCAGTTCCAGGAGGCCCTTGGACGACTGAAAGGGTGGAGGTGAGGATGACCTCCAATGCTTGTCGCTGGGATGCATCGAAGGAGTTCTCACCTGACTCAATGGATTTCTCCAAAGATCTTATCGTAAATCTGCTCCATGGAAGCTCCTTGCGCGCTTCCTTTGCACTCTTCGGAAGTCCCAGCAGGCTAGAGCCAAGGGGAACAGTTCCATGTTCTCCTCCGGTCAAGCTCTGCAACCGCCGCAAGACTGGACCAAAAGATAGAAACATGACCGGGCTCTCCACCAACAATAGGCCACCTGGTGGAGGCGCCAATAAGCATGAGATGAAGCTACTTCTGTCGATCCGATTCAGATCGTCCAGAAACTCAATCGTTACGGTCATTGATGTCTTCTTCTGCACGTTCTTGTCTGATGGCCTTTCAGCAACTCTGCCCCAAAGGACTTCTGCAAATGGTTCTTCGCTAAGAGACATGCACACCAAGTTGCTTGGCATGAGAACCCGGGTGGGGAACGGCACTGGATGCTTGAACATATTTGTCACCTCCATCGAAGCAACTAAGCCCTTGGATCCCCGCACCAAATGAAACTCCGACACCGACGCACGGAACACACGCATGTCTGTTGCATCCCCGTTGAGGAAATCTCGAATTCCCTTTTGCAGCGGCAGAAAGCAGTCTGCTCGCAGAAGCCGGAAGTAGGTCTCCAAATAATCCGACATTGTCTCATACATCCAGGACACTTCTGGCAAGTCCTGGAGGTCTGATAGATCCTCTGCGAGGATGTGAGGCACCAGCGGGAGCTGTCTGCGAGAAGAAGCCCACTGTACTAGGCCATCTTCACAGGCTAAACGGTCGCTCAATGCATTGATCATGGCAATCAAAGAACTTACACGGCCTTCTCCTGTCGCGAGAAAGACTGATCTCCTGGCAGATTTGAGATGCTCCACCCCCGAAAGTTCTCTGAATGCTTCATTAAGCTCATGTCACAAACTGAGAAGGGGCCCAGGATGGCCCAGGGAGAAAAAACAACTCAAAAAGAAACTCAAAAGGCCAGCTCCGAGTTTCAAAAGGTATGCTTCCATAGGACGTGCTTCCAAAATCTGGTCAACTAGCTTCTTGGCAGTGGCATTGAGGCTGCCCTTTCCAGTGTCCTCAACAAACACAAACTGCACGTCCATTGGGAGCCAGCTTGGGCAAAACAACGTCAGCCGATGAAACACCATAACATGGAAGTGCAATTAGCTCAAAGTTCAACAAAATTGAGACTACCCTGCCAAGCTTCATCAGAACCGTCCAATAAGTTGGGCAGTTCTCGCTGCCAAAGTTTTGACCGAAGAACGTTCCTCAAGAGACCAAGTTCACTTGCAGAACTTCCGCCACGGCCACAGGCGGGGAGAATTTCTTCGAGGAATAGGAGGAGTTCCTCCCTTAGAGCAACTACGACACAGGAACCCAAAACATACAGGAATGGAAAGCTTTCAGCGACAAATGATGCCCCACAACTTCCCCAAACCAACAACAGCAACAACTGCCTACAACCCATGCGCTTCAATCTGGGCCAAATTATGCCAAATTCCAAGTGATGAGTGCTCATGTGCCACAGGATGTCACAGGAATGCTCGGGTTTAACATGGCCCAACAGTCGACACCCCTATAGACTTGCCATAGAATATGTTGAGCCTATAGAATGTGGCTCAACATAGTCTATATCAAGTGGCCACGGAAGAAAGAAGACTTGCTATAGACTGGCCATGGTGCGCTAGGTGCACAGAATCCGCCTTCTTTGAAAGCTTGGTTCCCAAGAGGTGCTGCAAATGTGGACGGCAGTACATGTCGACCCGCATGAGGAGGTGTGAGCCATGTCTTGTGTAGCCCTCTCTTAAGCATCGAAGAAATTCACCAGCGACTGCTGTATCTGCAATGGATTCCAGGGTGGAAGCAGGGCCACCTGGAGGAGGAGGAAATGAAATGCAATCCCCGACCCTCGGCAGCACGGGCCAAAGATCAGTAAATGAAGTCAAATTCACCACTTGCGTGGCATTCGGGCTGCCATCAACTTTGAGATGCACAAGTTTCCTCTCTTCATCGATGCGAATAAGCTTCGCTTTGAGCATTGACTTGGGTGGTGCTTTCGGCTGGTGCTCTGGGGTCGGTTCCGCCTCTTCCTCAGAGGCATCGTCTTCCTCGGACTCTGGTGGTGGCTCCTTGGATTTCTTCTCTTTCTCCTCTTCCTTCTCTTCATGCAAGAAAGCGCAGGCGTCTCCTTTGGTACATCGACCTTCTTGAAAGTATTTACAAGGAAGTCGCTTGAACTCAGTCCTGACTTGCTCCGACCCTTGCGGCTGATCTCGGGGGTCATGCGAAAAGGTGCAGCTCTCACCTTTGAGGCACTGCGAAGGCGACTGGAAAAAGTACGTGCAGGGTCTGGGTGGCCTCGTCTAGGCGTTGGAAATCAATGTTTGGTTCACAAAAGGCACCCTGAGTGGCCCTAAGCAATGACAACAAATGGCACAGTTCTATCTTTTTGCTATTGCATGCTATTGCGACATTCAACCAGGGAAAATTCCATTTCAGGAGAATGCAACTCCGTTGAAGTTGGAACCCCGCCTTGTCACAAGCTCATCGTCACCATGGGCAAATGTGCAAGTCGCGCCTCTTTTGCAATTGCCTTCCGTAAAGTGTCTGCACATCCTGGTTTTCCGCAAACGAGAATCACCAATCATGGCTATTCCCAAGGCAAGGTCGCAGCAAATTGAAACTGAAGCTGCGCACATGATGCAAGGACAGTAACTCAGTAGTCGAAAACTTATACAGCGGTTGCAACATGCCCAACAGCATGTTGAATCTGCAAACATCCACATCTTGACATCTGTGCGGCGATTTTTCGTTTTGGTGCCGGAAGCCTCACACAAAGGCATCGAAACTCCAGGCAGGTCTCAACAAGTAGCATATCTTGCACCCCCCAAAACTGTGTTATTTTACATCTCGCGCATCACGCATCTGACTTTTGCTCAGATCTGGCATCATCGTGGCCTCACTCTGCAAGGAGTGGATTGGCGTGGAACTAGGGACCGCGCCAGTTGAGCTGGGCTGCGTTTGGCACAGCATGACGCAGAAACTCACAGGGAACCGAACAGCAAGCAGGCCCATCATTGATCAATTAGAAAACAGACTTGTCAATGCGTTTGACAACATCCAGAAATCACCTCAGTGAGGCTCAAACCTGTCTGTGGGCAAAGCACGTGGTCGGAGCCGTGGAGCTAGGAATCTCACGATGGTGATGGATGTGCAAAACAAAGAAAGCCAGCCTCCAGTCGAGATAGTGGAAGTGATGTATATGGAGAGTGGAAAGTGCAAGCAACTCGATGGTGCTGCCAGTGCTACTATAAAATCGAGTTGCCGGAACGTACACTAACAACAATGATGCAGGACATGCTGAGATATTCTACAACATGTTTTGCATCGTGAATATATCCAACCTCAAACGGAAATTTGCAAAATTCCTACGCCAAAGGGCCTTGGACCGTAACTCCACCCAAGTACGGACGCTCCATCTCTGCACTCTGCGCATCTCTGCACTACGCGGTTGTGATGCTATCTTCTGCCCACCAAGACTGACTGCTCATTCCACCATTTACCATCTCCATGTCAGAAAGTAGTTGTGAAAAAGGAGATGTCCAAGAAGATCTAATAAGCATCTAAACATATCCAAATTGAAAATTGCATTAATCAAAATGATCACTGCAAGCAATGCTCGCCCGCCTGAGACTTGCGTGCTCGACGGGCTCGCCTGCAACACGCAGAAGAGTTTCCAAGCACCAGCGATTCGTAGCAAAGAATAGAACTAGAACCGACAACTTCAGTGTTAGCAAAGCGATTCCTCTCCCAGCTCCATTCCGCCCTTTCGATCCCTTTCGCCTCTGCATGGTGGGCCTGGAGTGCCACGAATGGCTTCCAACACGTCAAGTGATGCATACCGATGCACCTAGCAACGACAACCACTCAGCCCTTCTCAGGTGGTTGGTTGAACATCTTCGCACCGTTCCCTATCATCAAACTTGATGTGCCCAGTCTATGGTGGCTGGTTCTTTATTGAAACTGCTCTGAACAGCCAAGCAATGTTGCTCACTCGTCAACTGTTCAGTGCTCTCATTTTCAAGAAATTATCAGAACTCCATCGCTCTCCAAAGCCTACGTTCAGTTTCTACATCTCCAAAGCCTACACTGCATATTTGAGTATCTTTGTCCACTGTCCATCTCACCTCTCAAACTTGGCCCCTTTTCTTAAGGGCGTGCCTGCCACATGCATTCCACCAACTTGAGCCATCTTGATTGAGCCCTGTTGACTTCATCATGTCTGCGTTTCCATGCATTTCCTGTTCTGTGCATACCTCTGGTTCCAAAAGCAAAAGCAAGCCGCAACTGGCACCTGGCTGCTGGAAAGGCGTTCTTCCAGCTTCACCTTGTAGCAAGCATATCCTTTTTCTACAGCATGCTTAAAAGTAAAAGCACTCGTCAAACTTGAACCTGTGTGCTTCCCACTGCCTGTTGCACCATGAATAATAGCCGGTCTTACAACAAGGGATGGACATGGCCCTTTCTTTTCCTCCAAGTTTCCTGCCCAAGTCTTGACTCATACAGTACCACTTGCGTAACTGATATAACTGATGCAAGGAAACACAACTGTACATGGCATGTGCACGGAGGGACTGCTGAGGACGTGCTAACGATTGCCCTGTCGCAATACGCCGTCCCATTGAAGCCATTCGTTCCAATCCCTGGTGAAAAAGGCACATTGCTGACAGGCATTGTTGATTCGACTGCGGCCTGATGCTTCATTGTGATGACTTTGCAGGTCAAAGCAATTCTCATTGATGACGGGCCCACAGCGACAGCGTGGACACATCTTGGCATTCGGATACTGGCGTCTGAGAAATTCGGCCGAAGCCGCTTCTTCCCTGCGTGTAGCCTGCCGACTCTCCGCTTGCCGCTGCCGACTCTCCGCTTGTCGTTGCCGTCTTTCCAATTGCCGCTGCTGATGTTCAAATTGCCGCTGCATATTCGAGACTTGGAACTGGATCAAAGCTAGCTTTTCAACCCAAGCAAACAAATTGAACTCTATTTTGAACCCCTGCGTTCAGCAAGTTCATCGCTTTGACCCTTGCCCACCTCTTCTTGAAACCTCTGGTTGTGTTGCTGCCAAATCCGGTTCTCAATGACCTCATTCTGAGCAGCTCTGTACTGACCAAAAACATCATCTGGTAAAGCCCTTGCCAGGGATTGCTCTGTGTAGTGACTGCTGCACTGTGCTTGGAAGGCTAGATTGTGCCGCACACATGGTACAAATCCACCCCTCCTCCGGTGCTCATCAAGCATGGTGTCACTGCCACGAACACGCTGCAAGAAATTTCTCACCATGGCTGGGCTACAATCTGAGCAAATGAAATGCTGATTTGGACACATCAAGCTGCCTGGCTGGTCGGCAGGGGCTTCATCAATTCAAAGCTGCTTGTGCAGCTTCCTCTCTCAGGCGCCAGCGCCGCAGTTCCGCAGCCATCTGTTCCACTTGCGAGTTCAAAGCTGGGATTTCACCAGTGGAAACGGTGGCGGCAGCATCGCGCGCTTGGCGCAACAAAGGCATGACTTGGATGCGCTTCGCATAGCGCTCGACACTGGCAGCTGCCATTGCTGAGAGCTTCTTCAAGATCTCCGCATCCTCTAGCACGCGTTGATCATGTTTCTGGGTGATGAACTCAGCATTTGCTTCCTCAATGAGGTCCGAAAGGAAGTCATCATCGAAGTCTGTCTTGCCCGTAATCACTTGGACAATTGTGACTCCAATTGAGTAAACCTCCGACTTGTCGTTGAATTTGCCTCATACGATCAACTCGAGAGGAACCGGTCCCTTTCTCCAAAAACATCGAATGGGATGACTAAGTGAGACCAACGAGTGCAAAAGAGACCTTCCTTGATCAGTCGAGTCACCAGTCTCCACATATCGTTTGCACATAAAGCCCGGGGTGCCTGCTGGACCACCACTCTGTGTGAGTTGCATGGTGGTGCTGCTGTGTCCTGGTCGGTCTTGAGGCAAGAACGCATGGACCTGATGGATCGTGGTGATGCAGGTGGCTGACTGCTGTGAGCAAACCAGAGATGATGCCGCTCCTCCGGCCCCAAGTGAGCTGTCGGGCCTTCTCATCATTGATGAGATGTCGGTCCAAACTGCCCTCAGGCTGAAACCCATAGACCAAAATAGCACCATCAGCATGCAAGCAATGCCCCAGCAGGGGGATGATGTTGGGATGGGTGAAGGCGGTTAAGACCTCAACGGCAGCCAGGGAACACGCTGAAGTCGCTGAAGCAACAGAATGGTTTCATATGTTTTAGTGATATGATGTGCTGTTGTCAATAATGCAGGCGCTGCCCAAACATTCCAGGCCTTTCAACCACCATGTAGTGTCTAAATGTCTGATATATAGCTACATTACAGTAGATCGTTGCAGTTTAATTTCGGTGACCGGGTCAGTTCTCACGAAAGGAGTGCTGTTCGTCTTACATTCTAATGAACGTGCGAGAGAATTGCCCGCGGAAACTGTATGCATCGTGTTTGCCGACCAACGTGCGCTTTGTCGGCCAATGATCCTTCTTGTTGCAACCAGACTTGAGGTGGCTATATACTATATACGACAGCGCGGGCTTCACATGTAGGACCGGTTGCTTGTTGACATGTTTTGGGACTCTGGATCGTAGTCAAACAACACTTGGGTAGAGAGTAGAGAGGTATCAAAATGGGGTGCGCCTCGCAAGCAGCAGAAAAATACATTGAGTTCTTTGCAAGCGTGTTTGTTTGGCACCTTCGCAGGAACAGAGATCAAGAAACTCCCCTGAAAGTTCTCACATGATTGATGTTGACTGTTCGAAAATCACCACTATTGATTGAGTCTTGTGCATGCATGCCTTGCTTGTGCACCCTTTGGTATGGCCCTCCATGATTATGTCGTGCATTGGCTGAAGCTCCCATTGGGCACTCGACAGGTGTCGGCAACTCCGTTCTTGGCTCCTCCATACCTATACTTTTCCCATCTTTTCCCGGCCAACATCCAATGTCAAACGTGTTCAACCCACTAAGCTGAAGACTCGGATTTCAGCTGCCGTCATCCTTTCCAAATGTTCTCGCTGCTGTGCATCTTGACATTCCAAGCGCTTCGCTGCGAACTCCAGCATTCTTTCATGATCCACCCCGTGGTAGACGGTTCCATATGCACCTGCACCAAGTGATCGGTCTTGAGAGAAGTTGTTGGTGCACCTGGCAATGTAAGCATAATCTGCAAAGCTTTTGGTGGAGATTTCTCTTGGATCTGATGAAGGTGCTGAAGCTGCACCAGATGTGGCAGTCGTAGCTGCAGGTTGGACTGGCGGCACTGGTCTTGCCTCTGGTCTTGCCACTCATGAGGACGGTGAAGCTAAATTCACAGGAGCTGGGGAAGGTGCATCGGCTTCTGCCAACGAGAGAACGATCGCCAGATCAATCTCTTCTTGTTCACTCCTTGACGTCTGCATTTGACGTCCGTGCGGAGTTCTGACTGCAACTGCAGGTTCTGGTTAAGTCTTGCCAGGGTTCATCAGCAAAGCCAGAGTTTGTGCCTTGCGTATCAGTCCGCTCATCCCACCATGCATCAGGGCCGTCGATGTCTTCGACATCTTCAGAGTCCGACGAAAGGGCTCCAAAGAGTGATGGGAGCCGCCTTTGCCTTTTGATCCCTTTGCCATACTCAAGTCACTCACGAATGGACCCTTTCCTGCACCTTTCCCGAAGAATCCGAAGAAGTATTTGCCCTTTCCTTTGCCTTTCGGAGTCCATTTTCCGATGCCTTTTCTGGGCCTGGCTGGAAAACCAACAATTTGGTTCCGCCAAGAATCATTCATCGCTATCCTCATTTCTTCTTCAGGAAGCACACAATCTGAAAAGGATCCCCATCAGGAGGAACAAACACCTCCTCATTGGTAAAGGGGTTGAGATAGACTGGGCCTTGTGCGAAACGTTCTTGAAAGCATGGGATCATGTCCTACGAGAGATCACCGGGACGAGGATCACATGATCTGACACTCTCTATAGAGCCCCAAAAAGCATGACGGACACCGATGGGTTGCCAGGATATCGCAGACAGAATCAGTGCTTTCTTGGTCTCGCATCTAAACGAACAGGCATTCCGAATCCACTCTGGCAGGACACCACCTGCTTTGCGCACTTAGGTGCAAGCGAGGAGTTGGCGTGGAATTCAAAGTAGTACGACCACCTGAGGCGCACCAGCTACATCCAGCTACTACAGTGCCCTATGATCCATCATGGTATCTATACAGTAAGGACTGGAGATGTTGACAAAGCTTCTAAAATCTCACAAAATCGAAACTTAAAGCTGGGCCATGACCTGGCAATTGACATTGCACTCCGAGAATTCTAGTGGTGCGCAACTTCTCACCAGGTCGTTAAGACACCGGCAAAAGGTACCACGCTACTGCGGGGTGCTGCTGCACAAGCTGATGTCTCCGAATTCTGGGAGCTGGGCCACAAGAAGGCTCATCAGCATTGATCAACTATGACACACAACTGACCTCAGCACTCAGAAGGCGATCCCCCAATATCAGCCACAAGTCAACCTAAAACTTGGTTGGCTGTCTGAACGCATCTGGTTTTTGTGATGCATTACTCTCAACGATTATCCCAAAATGGTGAAACACAATAGAACAAATACATAGAAATGTCTGTGTGCACACTGCACACCCAAATGTTCTTGGAGTGTTGGTGATCCCAAAGAAGTCATCAACACAAAAGGCCACATCCATTTCTGTCAGCTGCTGCTGGCGGGAGAGAGCAAGAATGCGTCCAAGCGGAAAAGACCAGAACTGTGCGACTGTGCATGCGTTCTGCGCCACAAATGCAAGGCAAGATTAGAGAAACTTTGAGACATGAGCTGCTAGAGGGCAGGGTTGTTTAATTGCATAACATGCCTGTATGCGTCACTCATGCTCAACTGTCCGGTTTCCTGACAGACCTGGCATCCTACGAGCGACAATTTTGCGACAACACATGACAACACCTTGTGTCGCAAACTTGCTTTCAAAACCTGCAGTGACGGTTGCGATCAGCAGGCCCCTGTGTCAAGCAAGCCTACTAAAGCCATAGAACCTGACCCTGGCGACGCTGTCATACGGGTGAACGTCGGATCCGCAATCTCTGGTCGCTGGTCTGTACCCTGGGTCGCTGATCTGACGCTGGTCCTCTTGTGACCAAACCACTATGAACCATTCAGGATACAATCTTCACATTGTTGTTCTCCACATCACTATGTGGGGTTCTTATTTTTCGCTCTGCCCCCGCCGCTCCGCCGTGCTCCGCCGCTAAAACCACCTATCTCACACCACCCATCTACTCACACACCCTCTCTCTCACACCACCTACACCACTCACCTTACACCACTCATCTTACACCACCTATCTCACACCACTCATCTTGCACCACTCATCTTACACCCACTCAACTCACACCACCTATCTTACACCACCTATCTCACACCACCCATCTGACACCAATCATCTTACACCACTGAACTCACACTGCCTATCTTACACCACTCATCTTACACCACCTATCTCACACCACTCATCTTACACCACTCATCTTACACCACTCAACTCACACCACCTATCTCACACCACCTATCTCACACCACCCATCTTACACCACTCATCTTACACCACTGAACTCACACCACCCATGTTACACTACTCATCTCACACCACTCATCTTACACCACTCAACTCACACCAACTATCTTACACCACCTATCTCACACCACCCACCTTACACTACTCATCTCACACCACTCAACTCACATTTCGTGGCAGGCGCAGTACACAGAGCCTTCAGGAGGGCGCAGCACTTGGTGAACCTGAAGTGCAGATTTCGTGGCAGGCGCAGTACACAGAGCCTCCCGGAGCAGCTGCGGGGCGCGTGGTCGCCGCTGGCCCGCGGCTGCCTGTCGTGTAGACAGATCTCACACCACTCATCACACACCACCCATGGCACACCACTCAGCACACACCACTCATCTTACACCACACGCCACTCATCTTACACCACTCATCCGACACCACACGCCACTCATCTTACACCACTCTCCACACACCACTCATCACACACCACTCATCTTACAACACTCACTTACACTACCCGTCTTACACCACTCAACTTACACCACTCACCTGACACCACCTATCTTACACAACTCATCTTACACCACTCATCACACACCAATCATCCTACACCACTCATCACACACCACTCATCACACACCACTCATCTTACACCACTCACACACCACTCATCTTACACCACTCATCACACTCCACTCATCACACACCACTCATCTTACACCACTCATCCCACACCACTCATCCCGCACACTCATCACACACCACTCATCAAACACCACTCAGCTTACACCACTCATCCCACACCACTCATCTTACACCACTCATCACACACCACTCATCACACACCACACATCTTACACCACTCATCCCACACCACTCGTCTTACACCACTCATCACATACCACTCATCACACACCGCTCATCTTACACCACTCATCTTACACCACTCATCACACACCACTCATCTCACACCACTCATCTCACGCCACTCATCTCACACCACTCGTCTCACACCACTCGTCTTACACCACTCATCACACGCCACCCATCACACGCCACTCATCCCACACCACTCATCTCATTCACTCCGTCCTCTTTTCATATCAGTCTCTACTTCTCGTTGATAGTTCTTACAAGCTTAACCTGTGGGGTTATCCGGTCCTTTTATTTGTTCGGCTAATAAGTTCCCCATATATAACCGTTTGAGAAAGTGAATCTTAAACCTCAGTATATAACTGGCAAATGGTCAAATTCCAAGCGACTGAGACATGCACCAGCTACACCAGCTGGTTGCTGGGCGATTGACATCACACTGCCTCTCAGGTTGAAAAAGGTGTCTCATCCTCATTGCTTTGCCAAATGCAAAGTGTCCGACCCTGAAGAATTCCACACCCACTCCAATTTGCATGCTTGCGCACGGTGGCGCCCATTGCACCTTGACCGTCAAATCAAACAAATCAAGCACAATGTGCTGATTCAAGACTGTACCACTACCAGCAAAACATGTTGCAATCCAAGGGAAGATCTGTCTTTGACTTTTTGGACCGTATGCCACTTGGATTCAAGCAAGGCGGGCCAGATCCTAAAGCATTCAATCATCGGCCAAAGACTTCAGCTCGGCCAGAATCTCCTTTGGCGAAAGGTCCCAGCAGTCCTCCAAATATTGCCTCAGGTGTCGCGTGTCATTGTGAGCTACAATGCTACAAATCGTGACGTGCTCAGGATGATGTCTGCATGTGAAGTCAAGTTGGGGTGACACATCTCGACGCAAGCCACAAAGCCAAAAAAGCTAAGAAACTGCACATCATAGGTTGGATGTTCCTGCCAAAGAATGGGCCCAAAGGGTGTTAAATGTGTGCATGTCTTGACCAAGGCGGGCGCATGAAGAACCAAACAGCCACCGGCCCCCTACAGGCCCTACACCTCCCTGGCGCCTGGGGAAGGTGAAAAAGGGTGAAAGCTCTTCGTGAGTACTGCTAAAGAAGGAAAAGCACCTTCGGTTGTCAACCAGTGTGCCACCAAAAGCGGGAAACAAAGGCTTGGGAGAGAGCTGTGAATCAGACAGCCTCAGTATAGTGACGAGCTCGTTGCAGCGGTGCCCAGAAAATCAGCCCTGGAGACATCCTGATCAGCTAACACAGTGTCATGGACATGAGTGATAATAGGAGTTGTGATCAGCGCAAAGCTCCGGAGAAGTATGGTGAAGCAAAAAATATCGACCAGTATCCCAGCTATAGTGTTTTGGAATGTTTTGGATATCCTTTCATGTTGTTTCTATCTATATTGGGGAGCTCCTTCATTATAGGAACCCCACCAGCTTTCTGGGCACCAAAAAACCCTGCACAGCCGAGGCACCGGAGTTCTTCATACTCGGCATCTCTCTCGCCTTTGGGTGCGCGACCGCGGACTGGTCCCACATCTGCCAGCAGGATGGTCGTGAGCGACTTTACCTTGTGACGTGCCAGTGCATCAAATTGAGGGATTCCATGTTTTTGTTGCTTCTGACGACCATCACCCTCGAAACCAAACCCACAAATGCTGCAGCTTACTTGCCATGAACGAGCACTGAAACATCAGCGACCTAGGGTCCCTGGCTGCAATCAGCACTGGGGAAGCTGGGAAGCTCGTCTTGTCACTTGTCTTGTCCTATTGGCTACTAGTGGGAATGCACTTGTTACTAGCTTGTTGTTACTAGATGTTACTAGTAGCGATGGCCTCCAACCAAATAGCTATGGCCTCCCCCTAATATTGTCCCTGTTACTAGTGTACTGGCACAAAAATGCTAAAAGTATACTTGAAAGACTTGGTACTTTGTTTCACGGTTTCAACTGTTTCTTCATTTCATGGTACAACTGCCCGCCCAAGTTCTTGGAATCTCAAAAACATTAGCTCAAACACGCTCTGGGCGAAGCAGGTTGGACTTGCGGAGGGGGGTTAGGCCGTGACAATGGGAGACACCTAAGACCCACACTGGTCCCCCAACATGTTGGACACTTGCCACCAGTCCAAAGGTGCGATAGCTGCAAATTCCACAGTGCCGCCCCATGTGCCATCTGGTGAGGACTCCAATCTGCGGCCTTTAAGCCGATACACCAAGTCGATCAGTTTCTGTTTTCCAGGACCATCTGGCCAGGAATTGATGTCATCTTGATAGTCTCTGATAGTCCTCATCCTTGTCCTGGTGAACTTTCATAGCCAGCACGCCGTTGCGCTCTCGAATCGGGCGAAATGCATCTGCTGGTATTTCGATTTGAGTCGCATGAAGCTCCTCTTTGGCCGAAAGAATTTCTATGATCCGGGCTGGCGTTGCATCAGGAGGTGCCTGGAACGTTTTGCAGCATTTTGCAGTGCCTTTCTCCACAGCGACGGTGACGCACTCTGTTCCACCAGCACGATTCCATTCCAAATTCCACTCCATGATTGCTTCAATTCCAGTCCAGCTCAACACGTCGTTCTCCAGGTTGGGATCTAACCGCATCGCATCAAACAGCTGTCGATACCTCCGCTCGAGGATGATGCCCTGAAGAAAGCGCTGCACTTCCTCTTCCGTAGCGCGCAAAATGAGACGGTCAAATGCCTGCACGATCCTCTTGAATCCCCTCTGCTCGCCCAAGGTTCCTGTTGTTCCTTCATCTTTCTCCAGGGCTGCTATGCTTTGCACATCTTTCTTGAGTCGCAGCATGTATTCTGGCTCATTCGGCCATTCATCGACTATGTCACGCCAACTCAAATCCGCCATCCTCACCAAGGGATGTGACCTTTTAGTCCATGTGCGCCAAATGCGCTCGCAAATTGATCTCCAAAGACAAGGTCCGAAGACTCGAATGCTTGAGGCGATCTAGATCTGCTTAGCCGCCGTGTCTGTATCTATTTTCGGATGGAGGACACAAACGAAAAAATCTGAAGACTGTAAACTATCAGCATCTATCAGTGCTTGTGGCTCGTGAACAAGGATCGAAGTGTCGCCACTGCATGCTTGAGCACCTGAAGCCGCCGTGTGGCGTTCGATGAAAGGGATGGAAGACTACACCAAACCGAT